TGACGCCAATTCCCCTTTTTTTTCCCCTTTCTTACCCGACGCCGATTCTTTTTTTTGCCCCTGTCAACAAGCCATTGTTCACGGCTATATACACGTCTTTTCACGAAAGCAATTCTATATCTGACCGGGAATATCCATTCCATCCACAGAAGAGCGACCGTTTACGCTTCTGCATAATCATATTTGGAGTCGTGTTGGAGTGAATATGAGCATGTATACAAATAAGCATCACCTTAGAAAGAGAGAAAGAGAGGGAGAGAGAGAGAGAGAGAGAGAAAGAAAGAAAGAGAGAGACAGAGAGAAAGAGAGAGAGAGGACTTGAATCCTCCAATCCATGCTTGCCGAACTGTCCTCACCTCGGTGTTGCAATCTTTGCACTCACACAGTCGGAATACGTGCACGGGCAGTTGGCTCAGACTGACACGTTTTCTCACCCTTTTTTTTTAATAGGCCCTTAAGACCACCGGATGGATTAATCGGCATTGAGCACAGTCTGCTGATGCTCGTAGGGGAGGGGACCTGAGACGAGACACAGGGATTGGTCCTGTTGGCATCCTCCCTGTCTCCTGTTGGCATCCCCCCTGATGCTACCGGCTGTCCCCCGGCCGGTATCGCCCACCTACAGGTTGGGAGCAGCCCTCCCATGTTCTTTACTGAACATGGTTCTGGTTGCTACTGGGTTCCCCATACACCTACAATTCGGAGCAGTGGCAGGTAGGCAGTATAAGGCGAAATGGAGAGAAGAATATAGCTTCCTTTCAAAAGGGGGGGGGGGAAGGAGAAGAAGAAATGAAAGACACCGGCGCGCAAGTCCCACTACCAGCGGCGACTTTCGTCAATGCCCGAATCTGAACGTGTTTGTGAAGAGGTGCGGTTGGGCAAAGTTAACGCGCTTTCCTGCACTTCTCCAAAAACACATCCAGATTCGGGCGTTCCCCTCCCCATGGGTGAAGACGGTAGCCCGATCAGAAAGCACGTCGATGTGAGAAGAAAAAAAAAAACGTAAAACAAGCACCTCGACGTGGAGTGGAGACGACGCACTTGTCACCATGATGACGTCACAAACACGTCCAGATTCGGGCGTCAAGGTAAAGTGCTGGCAGGGGCAGTCACCCTTCGCGCAACAAAAAAAAAAAAAAAAAAAAAAAGGCGAAAAACAGTTCGGGCTTCCAGGATAAATCGTTGAGTTTCCTCAACCACAGATCTCCACAAACACATCTAGATTAAACACCCCTATGTTTTATAATTTGTTTTTTTCTAAATCACCCTTAACGTGACCATGACGACGTCAGGTGTCCCACCCTCTTTTTTTTTTTTTTTTAGTGCCCAAGGCTTATAATACTTATGAATATGTTGAGGCCGGGGTCCTCACAGTCTACCCGGAGTGACAAAATCGGAACACTTGCTGAGAACCGGGCTCAGCGTCCCTCATGTGAGAAAAAGATGAACATACTGATGTAGAAGTGACTGATGGGGGTTTATTTTGAGCCTCTTCACCCCTAGTCGAGCACCAGAAATAACTATTACATCTAGCCCTATTCAAACCTCCATATATCCACTACAGACTAGTTATGGAAGACCAGTTTGTAATCTCTACTCTTTTTCTCCCTTTCCATGCTACCTCAGTTACCTTTTTGTACTGTTTCACTATTTAGATTCACAGATCTACTTCTATCCACAGCAACTCCTTTGAATCAGTCTTCAAAACTCTGCCAGAGAACTTGACTGCTCATTCGGAATGCCAAGCCAGAACTCAATCACAACCATACCAACTTGTGGGGACCAGAGTTAATGAGGAGGGGAGGAAGGGGTCTGGGAAATCTTATAAAGGGCGAAGGGGGATTGATGGATTAATGTTCGTCCAATCCTGAAAAACCAGTTTGTAGTCCTTTTGCAGTTCCATCTTCTGTCCTCCTTTTAACACTTCCTTGACCCCACTTTCTCTAATCCTTCCAATTTTTCCTCCTTGAGGCCCCCCTAGCCATGCGCCACTGTAAAGTTGGATTTGATGCTGGATTTCTTTTTCATTTGTTAGGAACTTGATTTTTTCCTTCACTTTATTCCATTGGACTGTGGTAACTGTCTGGATTTGCAGCTTGATTCCTTCAGTGAGTTATGGGCCGTCCAGCCTAGCGCCTTCCATTTCGAAAGTACAACGACGATTCCAGAGGGCCCAAAGGATGGCTCTTCTGCTAGTTTTAAATAAATTATTGGAAAAGTCATCTTTCTGGGCCTATGTCCAGGTCTCACATAATAGAGCCTTCCAATCCCATGGCCAATTCAGGGGGGGTTCTAAGGTACTCCAAATCCTGTCCCACCAGCGCCATAGCCAAAGAGCACCCGGGCATTGAAGAAAGATATGTTCTATGGTTTCAGGGATATTTCTGGGAGGGAATACAGAGGAACATGATTTGCACCAAGGGAAAGCAAGTCCTTTTTCTTCCAGCGAAGTTCTATCAATCAGCCAATCGTTTGTTGGGAGGCACCGGTGGTCAATTTGCCATTGCAGTGAGGCGATTTTAGTAGGTCTGGCTTTAATGGTTTTGAACCACTTGATGTGCCTAAGGTTTTCTTTACTCACATTCAAATGTTTCATCCATCTGGCTTCTACTCGGTCTCTCAACTCCAATCTAGGCCTCAGCATTCTGTAAGTAGATTTGACCGATAGGGAGTGGATTTTTCAAGTACAATTTTTTTGGCCTCTAGTAGGGACTGACCATGACCAATAAATAGGATCCAGTGGTAGTTGATTAATCGCACACGATGGCTTGAAAGCAATCCAATGGTCTTTATGTTTCAGCGCTCTAATCCTGAAAACCTGATTCACATYCATCCATATAGTTTCTTTGGTATGGKTTTCTTTTATTTTGTTACCCTGATTAATATGAAATAATGTAAGTAGGACTGATCCYCTTCCGTTTGTCATTACAATATTTCCTATTTGYTGTGGGTTCTCTTGGATTCYGACCCAATCACTCTCTTTTAGTTGGGGACCTTTCCTGAGTATCCTCATCCAATSAATCGGGATGGCCTCTATAATATTGTCGAGTGCACYTGCTGTTCCTCTGCAATACTTTAAGGTAGGTAATAGGTCGGCAAGAGAATGCCAGTCCGATGTTTCTGGGTTCCATATGTCTCCAATCCTTAATACCCCATGTTTTACCCATCCCTTCCAAAGGGACGCCATGCAGTGGAACATCCTTCCTTGTGGGTCTGTGATCCACCGGTTATTGAAAAGGGGTTGTTGACAGACTTCTTCCCATCTTGTTGGGGGGATTTTGTCTGGTAGTGGCAATTTACGCCATGTCTTGAGGAGGTCTGTCCAAAAAGGATCGTTTTTTATGTCTATATGTGTGGCCTGGCCATGGGATTTCACTGGATGGTCCTGAGGTTGCACTTTGCTTCTGGGAATGGACCAATATCGATTTTCCAGCCACATCAATGGGTCAGTCCCGCTTGGTACTTCTGGGGCGAGTCTCAAGATCTGTTCTTCTGCTAGAGGTGACCATGGAGTCTCCGGGTTGAAGAGCAAACGTTTAATCCATTGAATTGATAGTGCCATTGTTTGAGTGGTGGGATCTATTATTCCAAGGCCCCCTTTTGTTTTGGGTTGAATCACTGCCTGCTAGGCTACTCTACTTATTACATTCTTATTTTCGTGATTACCTCTCCAGAGGTAGGTTGAGATCTGCTTTTGTAGAGGCTTGAGCGCTGTCTTGTCAAGTGCCCATATCGCAGACTTGTACCATAGTGAGGCTAGGATGACATTATTTATCACCAGCGAATGCCCTATGATGGAGGTCCGTTTGTCCTTCCACCCTCCAGACCCTTTCCTCCTCTCTTTTCCTCGGCCACCAAATTCATCGCATATACCTTTCTCAGCCTTTTTTCTCTATCTTTTTTTTTAAGCAAAAGTGGTACGCTGAATTATTGTATGCATCTGATTCCCAACAGGAGTCGAGCGTATTACCTTTCTAATTACAGTTACAATGTGACACTGTGTACAGTCAACAAAAAAAAGAAAAAGGAAGGAAAAAAAAAAACAGTCACATGTGTACAATTCAGCCAAATGTGCCGGGTTACCACTGCGTCTTCTCTTCCAGGGTGGAGAGATGATAGCCTCCTCGCTAGGGGGACACAGTACCATTTGTCAATGGACACCGGGCGTGTTTCCCGGCGTGTATAATAAAGCTTGTTTCTTAAAAAAAAAAGGCAAAAAAAAAACGTCGGGTCCCCGGCCTTCAAGTGTAGCATCTGTTCTGATCAAGCCAATCTAGTGTAGCATCTGTTCTGCTCAAGCCAATCTTTGAATATTCAATATAGTAAAAAATAAATAAATAAAATTCATGAAATGACGCCCTCCTTCCCAGTACTCCTCCCTCCGTTTCTGTCGACTGCATGCTAGTCGTTCAACGGCCATCCAAATCGTTCAACTCGTCGTTCAATGGCCACGGAACTTGTTCCATGGCAGAGTGTGGGCAGCTTGCTGGTGGATGAGGAGGAGGAGAAGGACGGAGAGAGAGAAACAGGTAAGCGTAACGAGAAGGAGAAGAAAACAGGCAGCATCACTCTTATTGTTAAGTCATCACACCCATCTCCTTCCTACGCTCCTCCTCCTCCTCCTCGCTCCTCTTCTTCCCACTGCTAACCCTTTCACGTACAACTTCAACCCCTCCTACTACTACCAGTGCTAGTCGTATTCCGTACCACGACCACTACCGTCACCTGTTCCCCCTCCTCTCCTCCTCCTCCTCCTCCTCCTCCTACTACTACTACTACTACCACCACCACTAGTAAAATGCAAAAGCGGCCAATGCTGGAGGCGAGAGAGAGAAGAACTGTAGCCAAGACATGATTGATTCATTCAGATCTATCGATAACTTGAACTCACTTCTGTCGAAAGCGAGATCATCTCCTACTCCTCCCACACTTCGTGCTCTTGCTCTCCTCCCCCTCCTCCTCCCCCTCCTCTTCCACCCCCTTCCTCCTTATTGTCCTACCTCCACCTACTTCCTCCACCTCCTACTACTGCTGCTTCGACTACTACTCCTGTCTCCTCCTCATCACCTTTTGACCTCCGCTTCATCACCCTCCTCGTTTGTTCTCCTCCTCCTCCTCCTCCTCCTCCTCCTCCTCCTCCTACATCTACCGCTACTACGTAGAAGAGACGGAAATTGGTGAACTTGAAGGAAGAGGACAAGGAAAAGCAGCGTACAAGGAGGACCTCATCTCCTTCTTCTCTTCCCACGTGTCCTGCTGCAGCTTTCCCATCACCCTCCTCCTTCTCATCGTCCTCATCTTTCTGCAGCTTTTCCCTCACCCTCCTCCCCAACCCTTCCTCCTCCTTCCCCTCGTCCTACTACTACTGCTGCCCCACCATCCCCACCACCTCCTCCCCCTCCTCCACGACTACTAATACTACCGTCTTCACCCGAATAAAACGCCCCGTCACGATAGCCGAATTCGGTACAACTTTCAGTCTCGGTACAGCGTAATGACCAGGCGTTCTGTCCGGGTGAAGACCGTAGTACTAGAACGATCTTGTTACAAGTAACTAATGACCGCCACATCTCACTCACCTCTCCCTCTCCCTCGTGGTCATTATCGCTGTATCACGACTTATGAAGTTCTTATAACGATTTAGCCGGTGAGGAAGAGGAGAAGGAGGAGACGAATGAGGAGGAAGAAAAACAAGGAGGAAACGGTGCCAATTTATCCCAAAGGAATATAACACAAAAACCACAGAAAAATAGCGGAAACAGCGGCCATAAACTGCTTCTCACATATGCATCAACAGATAAACATCACATCTCCGCATGCACTGTTCTAAGAGAAGACAAAAATCACTGGAGAAAAAGAAGAAGAAGAAGAAGAAGATGAAAACCATAAGATGCATTAGCCTAGCTGTATCAAGTGTAACCATCACGTCAGATCAAGCGTAAAATCACTCGGATTTGTGTTCGGAGGACGCAGGTGATGTCCCGTGCATACAAACAGATTTCTCCCGCCACGCCTTCACAACGACCGCTATAACAGACCCATCATGGCGCCGACCTCCAACCCACCCCACCTCTCACTTTCCCACCACCACATGTAACATATCCCCCAATCAGATGCGAAAAGAAAAACTAATTTCCAAGGACAAGGGTACTTGTTGCGGCTTTGCTTGCAAGGGATTGGGGGGGAAATGGGAGAAATGAGTCGGGGGGGGTGGGTTCGGGGGGGGTTGGGGGGGGGGGTCGGGGGGGGTTGGGGTGGTGGTCGGGGGTGTTTTTAGACTCATGGTCCCGTGGGGGGTTGTGCCCTAACATCTATGGCAATGTGTGTGCAGCACCTCCTGCTAGTTGGGGAGGTTCTGCAACAGCTGGCTATGGAAATCGGCATGCTATGTCTACCCCTACTGTCTTCCCCAGACTCTAGACTGAAATCCAGCGGCGTACCTTGGTTGGTATGGCACGCAAGTGGCATTCATGAGATCTTGGGTTCGATCCCCGTTGGCCTCATGTACCTTCCTGGGCAAGCTTGGCGCCAGGCACATAGAGAAAGAACGGAGGGGAGGCACGTCCTTTTTTCCCCGAGCTGTGGAGGTGTGGCGGAGGAGCGGGGAGAGTGAAGAAGCGTGGGAAGAAGGCGGAGGAGGGCGGCAGGAGCAGAGAAGTTGTTGGGGATGAGCGTGGTAGTTAGTTTGGGGTCTCTCTCTCTCTCTCTCTCTCTCTCTCTCTCTCTCTCTCTCTCTCTCACTCTCTCTCTCTCTCTCTCGCTCGCTCGCTCGCTCGCTCGCTCCCTCTGCTGCGCTCTGTTTTTCCGTGTTTTTTTTTTTTTTTAATAAAGATCTCCCGATGCTCCACGGGTCGGATATCAGATATCAAACTGATCGGAACAGATGATCGTCATCGTCGTCGTCGTTTCGGGGAGCGGGATAGTTAGTTAGTTTGGGATATGTCTCTCGCTCTCTCTCTGGTGCGCGCGCACGTGCGTGCACCGTTTTTCAAACTGATCGGAACAGATGCTACACTTGATCGTCATCGTCGCCGTCGTGCAGCAGAGGAGCGGAGAGTGGCAGACACTTGATCGTCATCGTCGTCGTCGTTTTGGGGGGCGGGGTAGTTAGTTCATGGTCTCTCTCTCTCTCTCTCTCTCTCTCTCTCTCTCTCTCTCTCTCTCTCTCTCTCTCTCTCTCTCTCTCTGTGTGTCGTGTGTGTGTGTGTGTGTGTGTTGCTCTGCTGCGCGCGCACGCGCGCTGTTTTTCCGTGTTTTTTTTTTTTAAAGATCTCCCAATGGTTTACATGTCAGATATCAAACTGATCGGAACAGTTACTACACTTGATCGTCATCGTCGTGGTCGTTTTGGCGGGCAGGGTAGTTAGTTACTTTGGGGTCTCTCTCTCTCTCTCTCTCTCTCTCTCTCTCTCTCTCTGTGTGTGTGTGTGTGTGTGTGTGTGTGTGGTGCGCACGCACTAAAGAACTCCCGATGGTCCACGGGTCAGATATCAAACTGATTGGAACAGACACTACACTTGATCGTCATCGTCGTCGTCGTTTTTGGAGGTGGGAACACTTGATCGTCATCGTCGTCATCGTTTTGGGGGGCGGGGTAGTTAGTTAGTTTGGGCTCTCTCTCTCTCTCTCTCTCTCTCTCTCTCTCTCTCTCTCTCTCTCTCTCTCTCTCTCTCTCTCTCTGATCGGAACAGATACTACACTTGATCGTCGTTGTCGTTTCGGGAGGCGGGGTAGTTAGTTAGGTTCGGGTCTCTCTCTCTCTCTCTCTCTCTCTCTCTCTCTCTCTCTCTCTCTCTCTCTCTCAGGAAAGCAGAAGGGGGGACAATGCATTCTAAATGTTGGATGAGACTACTCAGAACGCATCTGATCCATAAACAGTCCAGATAGGTGTGGAAGTAGAGCATGCCTCTATCTCCTCTACTCCCACCTTCCCACCTCCATTGTGACACTTTCCGGTCGGATCAAAATGGAAAATGACAGGAAATGTGTAGCGATGTCGTGATGCCGGAAGGTTGATGCAAAGGAGGTGGAGGGAAGGCTATGGAGATGGAAGTGGGAGGGTGGGAGTAGATGAGGAGGGAAGGTGATGGAGATGAAGAGGGAGGGGGAGAGAAGGTGCAAGGGGGAGGAGGTAGAGGAAGAGGAGGGAGTGGAGAAGGAAATGTGTCAGAAGGACGAAGGGGGGGGATGTCAGGAGGAGGGGGGTGTCCCTTCTTACCTGGGCTATGGCAAGCTGGACCGGTGGCCAGGGAAAGGCTGACGACAATGGGGGAAGGGGGACGCCCACAACACCCTTTCATAATTTGAATTAGGACGGCGCCAAGTTGGACGTTAGCAGGCAGAAACGTTGCCTGCCCGGTAGATGGGCAGATGCGAAAAGCGAGCTTCTGCCTCTGCAGTCCACGGCCAAGGGCATATGGCAAAGTGGCCCATGAGGGGCCAAAGCAAAGGTTCAGGGCATTTCGTCGTACCCCTGTGTTTTATAGGGGTATCTGATGAAATACCCCAACACTTCTAGGGTCACCAACAATTTTCCAAGAAAAAGAAACATACATATACACCCACGTACACTACTACAAGCACAGAGTAGAGAGAGAGAGGCGACAACGCAGTTTTTGCGGCTGGAGATCAAGAAACTAGAACTCTGGCAGTGAAAAGTCGTGGCAACCGCTACTTGATGGTGAGCAATGTCCAGTCCCTTGGATAGACACTTGTTTGATGAAGTGTTTGGCGAACAGTGAGCAATGTCGAGTCCGTTGAATAGACACTTGTTTGATGAAGTGCTTGGCGAACAGTGAGCAACGTCGAGTCCGTTGGATAGACACTTGTTTGATGAAGTGCTTGGCGAAGAGTGAGCGGGCCTCGGTTGGGCGTTCGACCTTTTCGGAAGGCGAAACGAAAAGACAGTCGCCCATCAGATTTATCAATGGCAGCCATCGTCGGGCCCGACCTCCGAATTTTCAGTAGTTTGGGAAAACGTCCACTATTCCCTAATTTCCCAACATTGGTGGAGGTACTAGTGCTTTAGGACCGCATCTATCCAGGCCATCGGTCTGGCAGGACCCGACGGCCCAGATGGCAGATTTGTTACGTGGTTTGGTCGATCTGGGTCGTGGGCCGGTAGGACCGACGACGACCCGGATTTCAGATTTGTAACGTTAGCGATTTTAATAGTGTAGGCTGCGCACCCGTGCCCTCACGGTAAGTCAATTACGTGGTTTGGTCAATCTGGGTCGTGGGCCAGTAGGACCGACGACAACCCGGATTTCAGATTTGTCACGTTAGCGATTTTAATAGTGTAGGGATGAGGAGACAAAGAAGAAGAAGAAGAAGAAGAAAAAGAAGCACTCAAATGCGAAAAGCAAAAAAAAAAAAAGTGCAGCCACGCCCCCACGACCGTTCTATTTCTTTTTCCTTTTCCTAGCGCATAGAGGAAGTCCACGTCCGGAAAAAGAGGCCCGGAGGTAGCGACAGGTCCACGTGAATATCCCACTCAAACAATCCATCCAAAGCAAAGACACCCGTTCTCAAGAGTCATGTTCCCGCCATATCCCAAGAATCATGTTCCCGCCATATCTCAAGCAACGAGTTCCCTTCATACCTCAAGAATCGAGGTCCCGCCATATTTCAAGAATCGAGTTCTCGTGTTAGAGGAGTTGTGACTTGGCAAGCAGACACAAATAGTGATTTCCTGTGTGTGTGTGTGTGTGCGTGCGTGTGTGTGTGTGTGTGTGCGTGTGTGTGAGAGAGGTGTGTGTATAAACACACGTGTATATGATATCCCCAACGTGACATAATCACGAACACCATCAGTGAAACCACTTCAAAGGTAACACTGAAATAGTCTTGAGCTTGGACGTGAAA